GCCAGGGGCTAAGCCAAGAACCCCAACATACTGCCTAAGTGGCTACATGTCTTCACCTCTGAAAGTAGGAAGTACATTGACGAATACCAAACAGAGGGAGGATTGCACAAGTGTGTATCTAGACGGTTGTTCGGTCAACGTGCCGTCTACGGTAGGAGTGCCTACTGCAATGAACCCTGACCGGTTCGAACCCTGTACGGCTCCATCTGATTGAGCCCTGATCGGCTACCAGTTGCTGAACCCTGTACAGTTCAAACGCGTGACTTCTGTGTTTGGAAAAAACACAATCAAGCCCCTGGACGAGTAGGTGACAAGCTGGAAAAATTTGTTCTGCTCAGGATGCTGAACCTCGCAGATGTTCAGCCTTGAGTCCGCAGGGCCCCATCAGGTGCAGAAGCTAGCAAAGCTCGAATATCCTCCCACCGATTTCTTCTGTTGCGAAGCCATGTCCGACGGGAACGGAGAAAGCTGGGACGATAGCTCAAGCAAGTGGCAATATGGAAAAAGCATGATTTGAGAGTTTCTCAAACACCTTGGCTGGTTACAGCCGTCGGTCGGCAAGCACTGCGGGGCTGCGGCAGCTTGGTAAGATCTGCGAACTGCAGATGCTTGGCCGTGCTAATAGGACATGCGCTGCAGGGCTGCGGCATTCTGTAAGACCTGCGCACTGCAAGCGCAGTCCTCTAACGGGGTTTGAAGTGCCCAACATGGGCCACCCGTTTTCGTTTTCCTTTTCTTTTTTCCACATTTGTCGTTTCAGAGTCACATTCCTCCTTCTTTTTTCAATTCTCGCAGCCGAGAGGCCTTTTTCAAGCCCCAAGGGCGGCCTACAGCTGCATCTCTTTTCTATTTCGCTTTAAGGCTTCACAGCCAACCGCCAGCTCTCCTGTGGAGCCTTTTTCTTTTTTGCCCTAGTGGCTTTCTGTGTGTGAGGAAGTCTGTCATCAAGAGTCCTTTTCATTTGTCCAGTATTGCAGGGGACCACCGGGGCCCCGGGGGGCG